CTAAAGAACCGCTGAGGCGATGTTCTTCAGAATCTAATCAGTTCTAAGTTCCATGAAGATGCATTGATTACAAAAAAAAATTGAATCGCATCGTTTGTTCGAGAGAAATCGTTGGGCAAAATTTTGTATATATTTTATTTTTAATTTTTTAAAATTTTGTACATTTGTGTGTACGTACATACATACACACACACACCCACATCCGCACATACAGACCGGTCTCCAAAAAGGGTCGGGAGAATTTATAGGGGTCATGAAACGTGGAGAAACCATGAAATTTCCACATTCGTTTTTCGGGGTCATTACAATAACTTCCTCCATTCGGGTCGGGAAGTTAAAAATAATTTCCGAGAATAAATCAAAGAAATTGGTCAATGAAAAGAGGATGGTTTTGAGGCAAAAATTATCTGAAATCTATGTAATTAGGGAATGAAAGTCTCCACATTAGTATCTTTGCAAAACGAAACTGAATAATAATAATAATAAATCCAAATGATCTCAGTAACGAAGCGGTAAAGGGTGATACGTCGGTTTTTTTCGAAAATGAGTTATTGACGGAAAACGATTCTACATATTGTGTCACATATCCCCTATGAACGATTTGAGAAAAAAAAATTAACTATATTTTCATTCAAGTGAAGAACGGAATAAGTCCTGAATTTCATTCTCAACTATTATCCTGCGAGTTGAATCGACTTATTCCGATATGAAAAAAATTTTCGAGCGAAATAAGTCGACTTACACCTTACACAGAGAGAAAAAGTGGATTAGCTTTCGAAAAAAGTTTCTAAGTTTTAGAAAAAAATCGTTTAAAATTAATGATCAAAATAGGGATTAATTTTAAACTAAGATATTCTTAAAAAATATATTAATTTGGAAAAATCTTTTCTAAAATCTAGAAAATTGTTTCAATTTTTGACGGGGAATTTCGCTAAGAGGGAAAGGGGGGGGGGGAAGTTCAAAAATATGTCTAAAACTAAAGGAAATAGCGAATTTTTACGAAAATTTAGGGGGTTGGGGCATCAAGAATTCTCAACCAAAAAAATTGAGTCGGTGAGTTTTTTAAAAATATCTCCAAAATTAAGGGCGATAGCAAATTTTTACCAAAATTTAGAGCGGGGGGAGGAGGTGCATTCAGAATTCCCAACCAATAAAAATGGAGTCCGTAAGGTTTTCAAAAATATCTCCAAAACTAAGGAAGATAGCGAATTTTTCCGAAAAAAGGGGGGTTCTCAATTTTTTTTCAATTTGTCAAAATTGGGAATTTTTTTAATTTTCGAAATTTTCAAAACCGTAAAACCTTTCAAAAATTTTAAAAATTTCCACAATTTCTAATGAATTTGGAAAATTTTGGAAATTTTTAATTTTGACAAATTGAAAAAAAATTGAGAACCCCCCTTTTTTGTAAAAATTTGCTATCTCCCTCAGTTTCGAAGATATTTTTGACGAGATATTTTTGACAAATTCACCAACTCCATTTTTTTGGTCATAAATGCTCAAAGCACCCCCCACCCTCTCCGCCCCATATGTAAAACCACTTCCCCTATATAAAATCTACATAAGACCCCGATTTAGAATCCTCACCCGTTAACAAAAACTCTCTTTTACACCCCCGTGTATAAAAACCGCTCGTCATTGATGAAAACCTTTGATCAATTAAACTCAAGAATGGAGACTTGAATCAAACCGAAAAATCAGTCTGAATCAAACCGAAAATAGGCTTGAATCAAATCGAAAAATCGGTCTAAATCAAACAGAAAAATCGGCTTGAATCAAACCGAAAAATCAGTCTGAATCAAACCGAAAATAGGCTTGAATCAAATCGAAAAATCGGTCTAAATCAAACAGAAAAATCGGCTTGAATCAAACCGAAAAATCGATCTAAATCAAACCGAAAAATCGGTCTGCATCGAACCGAAAAATCGGTTTAAATCAAACCGAAAAATCGACCTGAATCAAACCGAAGTCGGTCTGAATCAAATCGAAAAATCGACTTGAATCAGACCGATATTCCGGTTTGCACTTGTCCGAGTCCGACTTGCTACATGCCGTCAATTCGACATGAAACAGGTCGACTCCCGGCATAACTCAGTTCGACTTGAATCAGACCGACTTTTTTTTGGGTGGTCATTGTCTCCGTCTATGTGCACACTTATTTGTTTATTGCGAAAGAAAATGTTGTGAAGCCCATGTGAATTCACAGAGAAAAGTAACCCAAAATAGAGTGACAAAGTTGCAAAAGGAAAATGATGGAAAAGTGTCACGTGACCCCAAGTCAATTTTTAAAATTCGAAAAAATTCCTCGAGTTTTCGAGGGGTTATTCACTACCGAGTATCGTGACAGAATGATTGTTGATTTCAAATGATTTCGACTGATTTCAGATGATTTCAAATTTTCGGTTTCACCTATCTAAAATCAGATGACTCCCGCGAGGTGAGGTCTGGAACGAGGTTCTCCAGTGATTCGCCACATTGTGAATTGCAAACACGTTGCAATGGGAAACTCATTTCACGAGGGGCAATGAGAGGAAGCGAACGTGAGTCATAGGTCGAGAAATTGAGAGTCAAGAGTTTCTGAGGGTTAAACAGTGACAGTAAGTGGAGGAATTAACTTGGCATACAAAATTCAAAATTTCTTTTTGCCTTTGGATGTTTCCAAATTCGGAAACTACGATCATAATGATTTTTTTTCCGAAACTTACGCGCGTTCCATCCCCATTCCGATCGATAAACTCTAAATTTGAATCATCATATCACCTCAATTTTTTTCCGAACTAGTTTTTTTGATCTTAACTATCTCAGATATCTATTTTTTTCAAAATTTGTTCGGATCCGCTCATTTCCACCACAAATAATTTTAAAAAACTGAAAAAGTTGAAAATTCACAAAGAAGAAAAAACATAAATGTACAAGTCTTTTGCAGATTTTTTTGAAACTTTGAATAAAATTGGTGGGGGATTGAAAGAGTCAAACAATCTTTTATCGTTGAATTTTATGTGGCGAATATGCACTATGAAATCATAACAATGTATCTGAAACTAGCAAAACATTCACCAGTGAAAGATTCGATTTGGGCAAATCTAGGGATAAAATATTTTTAAGCCATGAGCAACCTCGTTTGCATTTGGAAAAAGTCTGCTCATATGATTGTTTGACCTCTAACACTAAAAAATTCCCTAAATTGATGTTTCCGCCGTCGGATATTGCGCTAGTTTCAGCTTCATATCATAATAATCAAATAGTATCAACTCGTCTTGTACTAAGTCAAATGTTGTGAGTTTAACCCTTTAAGGTGAAAGTCGGCCTGAGTAGTACTTTGTCCGGCGGAGTGGAGACGAGCAATTCTTACGGAAAGTGCCTAGAGTGGTGGAACCGCCCATTCATCTCAGAGGGTTAAAATAATCACAGTTATCTGTCGAGGGTTAAACATAAGGGTTGAATTGAAAATATTGTATGATGAGACTCATTTTGGAGACAAATCGAAACGAAAAAAAACAAGCAGAGGTAGAACTCCTATCCGACAGAAGGCAAATGACCATTACTTTTTTTCTTATTATCCTTTTCTCCTTTTTTTTCTACCAATTTCATTGGTAGTAAGCTTCCGAAGAGAAGTATATGGAAATATAAACGACCATTCCATTCATCACTATTTAATGACATTCACCAATGAAATCCAATATTGAATCAACAATCTTTTATTGTCAATTTTCACGTAGAGAATCCTTTCATTTTCTCACTTCCATTGTCAATAAAAGTCTGTTGTTCTACTCTGATTCAATAGTTTCCTGTGATTTCATCTGGATCGCTCAAAACGTAGTAATTTCTGATGATGACGTTACTTCCCATTCAAATTCACAAAAGTCATCCTCATTCCAGATGGTATTCCATAGTGCCGATGCGCCCATTTAAAGTACGGACCTTTGGTATTATGAGAGAGATATATATACCATATTTCAACTCAATATCGTCTTTCCGTCACAAGTTATCAACCGCACAAGAATAAGATAAAAAAAAAGAAGAGAAACGAGAATATCTCCAACAGTTTGTATGGACGGGTATATATATTTTCAATTATCTAGATAGTAGCAATCGAGACGGATATTTTGAAAAAATCAAATTTTTAATCGGTCAAGTAGTTGACGAGATATTTGACAACATAGATTTTCACAAAAAATTGAATATCTCGCGAACCGCTCGACCGATTGACCTCATCGAAAATACGAACCGTCTATGTTACAAAAGCAGCATACCGAATTTCAAGTCGCTAGATCGTTTTTTCATTGACTTATCGTGCGTACAAGGTTTTTTCTGAAAAAACGGATAAACGGCAATATCTCCAAACTTTGCACAAATCGGTATATATGATATGAGTGATCTAGATAGAGGCCATCGAGACGAGTAGTTCGAAAAAAAAATTGAAATCGGTGCAGTTGTTGGCGAGATATTGTGGAAAAACGAAATTTAAACAAGTGATTATATCTCAGGAACTACTTGACCGATCGAGCTAAAACGAAGCACCAAAGTGAGGCTCATTCAGAGCTATCATGAGCCGAAATTTCAAATTTTTAGCTGCAAATTTCACCGTATTTACGTTGAATTTTCTAAAATTGAATCACCAAAGACTCGAATCTGCACACACACACATACAGACACCCCCCTAAAAACATCATTTCTTTACGTTCCATGGCGATATAGACCATTTGCAACCAAAATTAGAGAATCGAAAAATCGACCAAAAGCAATGCTTCCCTTCGGAAGCAAACACAACGAACGGCCACTTACGGTCCGTGCAGCCTATTCCCCAAAATGTTGAGACATTAATTGAAACATATTTTCTCGATTGCTTATTTGTGTTGATGAAAGAAGTAAACATAAATTGAGCAATAATTATTTAAATCCTCAGTACTTCCTTGTTAATCCCGGAAGTCAACAAATGATTCATTATCAACCCACTTCCGCATCATTTTCGATTTATAAATACAAGGAGACGGAATGAAACTCCATTCAAAACTAAACCAAGAATGACTTCACTTAGAATAACTCTGGTAATTTCGTGTATCGGTGTGACGCTATGCCTCAGCCAGAGAAGCCACAGATTTCCAAGATCAGATTGTGAAGGCGAATTATGTGTTCCAGAGCATTCAGAAGCAACAGGAGCACAATGGTAAAAAAAATCTTCATTCTAAATATTATTTTCTTTCCCCACCAAAAATCAATCGATTCTTCTTATCCTTCCAACTATTTCCATCATTTTTCTAATAACATTATTTTGCAAAAGAAAAAGCAACAACATAATTTTTATAATTTTTTCATATAGATTTTTACCATTGTTTTATTATTTGAATATTATCACAAAAAATTGGATAACTCGAAGTGATTTTTCTCTCGGTTCTGCACGGAGAGAAATGTTCAGTAAAAATTATGGAACTCACAATTCGCGTCACCAATTACGGAATCGACTCAGAAAATTTAAGTAACGGTATCGTAATTTTTCACAGGAGATTCAGATAAAAATGACGTAATGCTCTGAAAAAATTCCGTGACAGTTCCGTAAAATTTCGTACAACTACATTTCGCTCCGGAATTACGGAAAAGATACGTAATTTTTATTGAATATTTCTCTCCGCGTGCTCGAGGAACTATTCACGTACATAATCGTTATGTGATTGCTGCTGTAATCACGTGCAATCTCACTGAAAGCACTGCAATCACATAATTACCACACTTGCAAATAAGTTTTGGTATTCAAGTGGGAATCATTTTTGAAGAGTGTGTTTTATTTAATTTTTCAGAGCGTTATTCCTAGAAACGGTAAATGAAAAATCTCTGGATCAATTTTTCTCGCAGGATTTACTCATTGGTCATTCAATTATTCTATTAATTAACGTTCAATTACGAACTATTTTTGTGATTTCAATCATTCCAAATGATTGATAATCACTGATTGTAATCCACAGACTCATTTTTAGTCATATGATCTGATTCTGCGCCCTTGGTAATCAGAGCAATCGCTTCGGCAATGGTCATCAGTGTAATCAATCCTGTAATCCTGAGTAACCAGTTACATTTTGTAATCATGATGCCATCCAATACGACTGTGGATAGCCCCTCGATTCTGCTTCCTCAGATGGCTAGATATTGAAATGAGAAAGATGCACCATGGAAAATTCCAGAACTCTCCATTATTCCAATTTCCAAAATTGTTTGAAAAATTATAATGCAATGTTGAAAAACAAAAGTATTGCTCTATAGTGCATAATGTAGTATACAACATAGGAACTTCTAGAACTTGTTGGAGAATTCTAGATTCTTCTTGAAAAGTTGAAGAAGATATCGGGTTTTCTAAAAAAAATCTCAAGTTGTTGAGCAAAATGATTTTTTCTCTTCCAATAATAACATTTTTTTTAATCGTTATTTTACATCGCTTCGACCCGTTTAGGGTATACTGCGATGATGATCAAGACTTTAAATGGTTAGATCGCACCATTCTACCCGGCCGGGATTTGAACTCGGAACCTTTCGCATGTAAGGCAGAAATAATAACATTTATTTCTCTAAATTTATAATTCAAAAACAACAACATTCATTTTTCATTACAGGGATACACCCAAAGACCCTGCCGAGCAGTTTTCGAAACCGGTCCATTATCCGTTCTCCTGCCCCATGCAATACGCCAAGAGACTCGTAGACTCGTTTTCAGCGTCCTCCCAACCTTCATATGTCTCCCTGCGAACAAAAAGAAGTATAACGCCCGAGGATCATAACAACATGAAAGTCATAGTGGTGCCGATTGAAAATTTGGCCGAAGGACTAAAAGTGCCCCAGTCTCAGATCGAGTTGGAAACTACCCCATTAGATAAGCGACTCGAAGAGATAGTGACAAGGGCCATTTTATCTGCACGAAGCCAAGCGGAAGCGCAGTCCGCCTTTTATTGGCATGGAGCACACCAGCACCCATTTCATAATATAAAGATGGGAAATCATGGAATGGGGAATGAGGAATACATTTATGAAGATTTGGAACAGGCTTACGCGATGCCTCCCAATGTTACAATGGAACAACAAATGGTGAAAGAGGAATTCAGTCCAGTGGTAAACCAAAGGGTGACGGACCCTGAAAAGTTTAACAGTGTAAAGATAATTGGAGATGGTGGGGCGAAGGGCGACAGAATGGTGGATGCACAAAAGGAAAAAACAGAGGCTCAAGTGGAGCGAAGGACACATCCTACTATAATGGAGAACATACAGGCACCAGCTTATGAAGTTTATGCTAGAGAAGCTCCAGAAACGGCGATACCAGCACCTTAGAATAAACTTGAGAAATATGGCTTGTAGTTTTTTTTTATAAATGAAATTTCAAAAGTATTTATACTGATGTGATTAATTGTAATTGTTTGATCGAAGAAGTTTTATATTGTACGATCAAATGAACTTACCTGTAAGTGAAGTTCGATCGTGATTATATGAACGGCCTCGTCGAGAGATTTTAATAACTTGTAGTAGTCCGCCTGCGGCTAGATGGAGCCACACGCCTTCAGAGGCCATAGAAAAAGTTGGCTGTGGCACCTCAGCGGTGAGGGCTCGCCATCTTATCATTAGTTTAAAGTTAAGCAATAGTGTATAAAAAATTGGACGGGTTTGGGAAAGCTCGTTGGGAGGGACTGAATCTCGCGACGCGGCTCTCCATATAATCACGATCGAACTTCACAGGTAAGTTCGTTTGATCGTACAATTATATTCTAGCCTCGTCTTCGAGATTTTAATAACTTGTAGATGTTCAGAGATGATCCAATTTTTTCTTTTTGTTTTGTTTTTTTTTTTTGTAATGAAACCCCAGACTTAATATGAATATGAATATTGAAGAGTTTAAAGACGAATGTTAATTGACAAAAAGAATGGTTATTGACTAAACCATATTAAATAGAACTTTGACAAAAAAGCTGTGATCAACGGCAATTATAGAAATGTACAAATCGTACTTCTTAACCTTTCGAGACATACTCGTTTGCTCACAGCAGCTGGAGTTGCTATATACTTAGTAATGTAAGTTGAGAATCAGCTGTATTGACTTCAAGATGGCTATAGGACAATATAATCCGTTAGGCCAGTATTTATGGAGATTCGCAGCTATAAAACTCTCTGAATGTAACGAACCGTATAGAGATGTTATATCTAAAATCTCAACATACTACAGAAAGCTACCTTGGCTGCGCAAAAATGATGCCTTTCAAAACGAAAAACGGGAAACAGGCTATGGATCGCCTGGGCGAGAAGATTGTAACCTGTCTGGTATCGTGAAATCCAGATTTGACGCACCTTTGACACTGTTCTCAAATTTAATAGCAGAAAACGTTTGTCGTCTCTGCGAAATACTCAAGGCCGAGAGAAAGACAGATTTTCATTAAGATGAAGAATTGACAGATTTGCCTTGAGTGGGAAAGATCTGGGTGGTAGGTCAGAATACACTCAAGATACTAGATGTAAGTCCATTGTGATTTACCAGGATGTAGTTTGAAAATTTTTTGAACAAACTTTGGAATGTTAAAGTTTTTCCCACTGTTTCTGGATTTGGTGGAGTTTACTGTTTCATACGCTGTTCCTTATTTGAACTCTGCCATTAAAAATGTGCAGGATAATCGAACTAGATATCGAACAGCAGTTAATTTTCTTTCATTTATACAAATCCACAATTTTTCAACAGTAGATTTTAGCAGCAGATAACTCTGGAGACGCTAACGTCGATCGAGAATCATTGGGACGATTGAGGAAATGCCTCCGGTTGGACCTGTTGTTCAACTTGAGGCATCCAAGGTTTTTGAACCGTTTATTTTAACTCTACGTCTCAAAACAAGCTCCTTTGAACCCAATGACTTTAGATTCTCCTGTAAAGGTGGATAAATCTCCAAACCTTGACACAATTTTGAACATTTATTTCAATCTTCTCAAGCTTCCCGAAAAATGTGAAGCCATACAAAAATTAAACTGGAGCTGTAGCCTCAACGGCACTAAAAATTTATCATTTTTCTTGAACCACACAATTTCTGAAAGACTAGATTGTCTAGTTTCTCTTCCTAGAGCAGACTTCGAGAAGTCGCCCCCAATGCCACGAGGGCAGAACCTGCGTCTTTTGAGATTGATTAAAAATTCTTTATCTCTATGGATCAACGGTTCGGCGGAGATAAAAGCAATCTCTGAATTCAGATTTGGTGGATATTTCAACAAATCTGTGTAATTTGTGCCTCCAACGAATTCGAGACCAGCCAGAAACTCCAACGAGCTTCCAGATCACTCTGAAAAGAGATCTCGGCATGATGAGGCTTCGATGGCCCAAGAACTCCTATATTCCTGAATCGAGTTCAGATGGAATATTATTTTGGAGGTTTGAGGCCTTGAATAATGCGTCAGGTGCAGATGCAACAATTGCATTTGTAATTGAAGGCTTAGAGCCTTACTTTATTGCGTCAGACGCAGATGTACCTATCGTAATAGTAGTAGAAGGCTTGGAGTCTTGGATCAATGGGTCAAGCGCAGATTTAACTATTGAGATAGTAGCAGAAGGCTTGGAACCTTGGATCAATGCGTCAAGCGCAGATTCAACTATTGAAACAGTAGAACAAGGCTTGTAGCCTTAGGTGAGTGCGTCAGGCGCAGATGTGTCTAGCACAACAGGATCTGAGCTGTTGCTCGCACTGTCCTGGATGTCAGGGATGAAGATCCATTTGAAATATTTGCAACAATCTCATTTTTAATTTCCTTGTTCTCGATTTTGTCTCTAGGACCAGGAGAACCAGGCAAAATGAAGTTAGGCTGAGTTGCTCCACAAGGAATAAACTCGGGATACAAAAGCCTTTGACGTCGATTGGTGCTGTCTGTGTCTCTAGGATCTGACCCGAGTGTCTAAAAAGGCTGAGAGACATGAAACATCGCTTACCTTTATTGCCAATCGATTATTTATCCAAGGAAAAGTCGATAAACCCATGCACGTAATATTTGCAATTTCACTATAGATTTCTAGATATTCCACACAATTTATGTTTCCTTTTCTTACAATCATCCATGACTATGTAAAAACTGCGTAGAAACGGAGAAAAATAGATTATTACAACAAAACAAACTGGAAACTCTGAAAAGCGTGCGTTCCACTCGCGCACACATGAAAACAATGATAAGATGGCGAGCCCTCATCGCCGAGGTGCCACAGCCAACTTTTTCTATGGTCTCTGAAGGCGTATGACTCCATCTAGCCACAGGCGGACTACTACAAGTTATTAAAATCTCGAAGACGAGGCTCGAATATAATTGATGTTTCAGAATTGATTCATTTCCTAAGGATACTATTTATGTGAACTTACATGAGATTCTAAAGTGGAGCAGAGAGATTCAGAAGAATTTGAAATCCACCGGTTTTTCATTACAAGAGTTATATTGCTAACGTGACCATCGTCATTCAGCCAGGGAATACTTGTTGGAAAGTATATTCTTGGTTGAAAATTTGGTGGAATTTCCGATCAAACATTATGTTGAGTTTGCGGCTGAACATGGGGGGGGGGGGAAGCAGCCAGGAGGTCGATCAAGGTATCGATATCCTTATGAGCTATCACGGAACATTAAAAAAAGGCCTCTATGAACAGAAAAATTGTTAGGATTGAGGAGAGTAATTATCGGAGAAAAATGATGTTGGCGCTCATTCAGAATTAGTAGTAGCTCTGCATGGTGTTCCTGGTGGATTCGCATCGGAGGAGGAAGTCGACGATGGCTGGCTCAGCTGAGCTACAAAATTAGCGTTGTCCTTGGCTTTGAATGTGTAGATTTTACCATTATAGTTAGAGGTGGGCGATGTTTTAAAAAACATCGATTATGTAAAAAAATCGATGTTTTTCTCATTACACAGGAAAAAAACAAATTTTTTAAAATAATTGTTTTCTTCTCGTTTTTATTAAAAAATATATATTTCAAAAATACAACCCGAGGACCGACGGCGATGGCTATGTGATTAGAGCGCAGGGTCGGCACGCGAACGACTCGGGTTCAATTCCCGGAGGGGGGGGGGCCAAAATGATTTTTTAACGCTCTAATTTTCAGAGATTCATTGTCCGAGCGGGAGTCTCGCAATGGACAACTGTACCTGGTGTTTTCCTCAAGTGAGGTTTTTCCTTGGCCCTCGGCGAACGCGGTACAAGGGTATGAGAGGTGGGAAGGGAAGAAATCGTAAAAACCCGAGAGGGTATACGAAAGAACAAAATACAACCCGAGGAGCTTACGTTTCTATGATAAGTACTGCTGGAGAGTTGAATTTTGAACCTCGAAACAGGGTTTTTGATTACTTGAAAAAAAATATATTGAATATTTACCGTAGCTGGACGTTAGCTGCAATAATTGTTGAAATTTAAATATAAAACCAGTGGATAATTGCATTTCCTGTAAGTGCGTATAGTTTTGTTGCTAATAAATTAGCAATATGCTTCCGAATGCATGGTCTATTTTAGAAATTTTTATTTTAGTATTATTTTTAACTTCCCGACCCAGAGGGGGGAAGTTATTGCAATGGCCCCGAAAATCTAAAGTGGAAATTTTATGATTTCTCGACGTTTCATGACCCCTAGAAACTTTTCCGACACTTTTTAGAAACCGGTATGTATATGTGGATGTGTGTGTGTGTGTGTGTGTGTGTGTGTGTCTGTGTGACCAAAATGTTATGCTACGATAACGCTCGGACGAACGAGACGATTGCTTTTTTTTGTGCAATCGATGTGTTTCAACGTAACTTAGGGTTGATTCGATTTTGAACAACACTGGCTCAGCATTTTTTTAGATTTTCAAAAAAAAATAGCTAAAAAACGCCGAAAAATGAGTTTTTTTTGTAAATTTGATTTTTTTCTGAACAAACGATGGGATTGATTAGTTTCCATCATAATCGATGTGGCTCTATATCACCAACACTGGAGTGAAATTTCAGCGGAATCGTCTTAGCCGTTTTTGAGTTATTCGATTATAAATTTTTACAATGGAAATTTTCTGATATTCATTTCACTGTTGGAATGGATCCATTGCAACTTCGAACTTGATCCACTTCAATACTTTTCGACTTCAATTTTTTGAAACTTCAAAATTTTCAAATTCGAAATGTTTCCAACTTCAAATTTTTCCGACTTTACAAGTTATTGCCTACTTCGAAATTTTTACCTCCGACGGCAAATCAAAGGAAGGGGTATGCTTTTGCCAGCCCATAACACGACTCTTCAATATCACTGTCCAGAAGAAACGACATGAAAAACGCTTTGAAAAAATTTGCTTCATCGAGATACGCGGTAGCGTATCGGCCAAGAAAAGTTTTGACCGACTGAGCAAAACATCAGGTTTGACCG